TTTATTGTTGAACTGGTATCGAATCAACCAAACCGTTGTAAACTGATTTGGATAATTATGTTTATCACTGGTCATATTTTTTCTTATTTAGCTCTTAATATCTCAATTACTATAGATGTAAATGAATTTTAATGATAATTTTGATATCAATGATTATTAATTTTAGTTATTGATAAATTTTATATATCAAAATTCTCAATGTTATTGTACTTTGTTATTGTTACAATCAACTATTATTATATTTTCTTGTATTTTATTATTAGTGATCATTAATTGTTATATTTGTTATTTTTAATTAAATTAAATTATACTCCTCCTCCTCCGGTCCTTATTATAAGACCCAATTTGACTTTTTATTTGGTCCTAATTATAAGACCCAATCCATTTTCTCTTTTATATTTATGCATTTTTTTCCAAGATAATCCTTCTAATAATGATAGTTTTAGCTAATATACTTAATTAGCAAGGATATTTTAGGAATAACAACACTTATTTATTATAAATAACCAACTTAACTTACTTCCTTAATCTCCTCAAATAAGTCAATTGGGTCTTATAATTAGGACCGGAGGAATATTATTTTAATATGACCGGTTTGATCCTGAGTTGACTCCAGTCCGAGCAACTAACCCTTGAACTACTACCTCAATCGGTTTAGTGTCTGGTCTAGTTTTTTATTCCTTGATTTCTAACAAACATGTTTCAATTGATAGATTCTGTCGCGTTCAAGAAGAATTTCCCACACAGATGAATTCTATTGAATTTTACATTACTTTTTTTAAATATAAATATAAATATTTTGTATATGAGAAAATTTAAATTATATAAACTGAACATAATTTGTGAGTTTTTAATTCATCCACATCAGAAAATTATCAGCTATCTATTTTGATTTGTGGGGTATTTGATTGCTGAGATTAATGTCAGCAATGACTCTATGGAAGTTCTGACTTGAATTATTGAGGAATACCTGAAGAATCACCTCCCGGTTCTCTCATCAATATTAGAGACCACCCCCAGAGATTCGATTAGAGGGTACTATGTATGATCTCATATGTAGAGTTTTCTAATTCTCATGCTATTAAAACTCGACTCAGATAGGCTAGTAGACTGGCGACTGGCGAACTGGTGAACTAATTCCTAATCAATTCGGTTAAGAGTGTTGGATGGGTCAACCAAATTAAATTTTATGTTTTTGCCTCCTTTTTCTGAACTTGAAGTGATGCCAAAATTTGAGTTTTTAAAAAATGATAGTTTGTCAAATTTGTGATTTAATGACTTTGTTCTGGATTATATATGATTTATATATAAATATCTCATTTACCTGTTATTTAATGTCTTTTTTTTATAATCTAAATATTACTTTTTATTCAAAGCCATATAAATATATTTATATTTTTTAATTAAATTATATTATTTTAATTACGATTGGGTTAACCTCATTTCAATTTAAGTTGACTACTAACTCTTAAACTACTGTTTTAATTGGTTTAATATTTAGTCTGATTTTCAGTACCTTACTAGTTCTTAATTACATCCATTTGTTATCAGCCGATATGCCTAATAGTTAGGTTTTTCACTTTATTTTTTCTCCTCTCAATATAACTTCATGTCATAGCCATTGCTTTTTGGGGAAAAAAAAAAGAAAAAAACTAAAAAAGGGAAAGAATAATTGTGTTATGGGTATTTGGCTCTGCAATTTTCCTCATACATTTCTCTATGTTGACTCTCTTTTAAGAAAGTGGATCATACTTCCTGTTTGGGACCGGGACCCAGCTGTATCCCTAACCTCCTTCTTAGGGCGGGGCTGGGATAAATTTGTCTTTTTGCGTCCATTTTTTGGGGGGCCTGTTCGGGACCATCTCCTTTTCTTTTAAGGGAGAAAATTGACCACTAGCTCCTGTTCCTGTGTGACAAATTAATGGCATGATATGAACAAATTTTAAGAGGATATAAATTCTGAGATATCTTTAGTTCATAACAGATTCCTTGAACAAGTTAATTATAAATATATGTGAGTGGCAAAAAAATTATAAATATATGTGTGTATGTTAATGTATCTAACATTTATACGTTTACTTATGATTACTTTTTTTATTTATTTTAAAATTTATTTAATTTAATTAAATAAGAAGGGATAGTACAACAAATTTTAATGTCATAAAACTTAATTCAAAATTTTTAATTGGCGAAGAATAGATTTCTAATTTAATATATTTAGAAAGATAACTGCTTGAAGGAAGGCTAAATTAATTTTGCGCTTACTACTTGGACGGCAAATTTCGGAATGATATTGGACCTTACTTTGGGCTCCTGTTTACCAGAATAATTATATTCTTTAACAAACTTTCACCAACGGGATTTGGTTTAACGGAAGGAGCTAATCCCTCACAACTTAACGAACCAGGTTTGAATCTCTAATAGGAGAGTTATTCATATTTAGTGTTGATAGTGTCTCGAATAGAATTGCATCTAATAAGAAGATACTTATACTTTGGGGGGAAAATTTTTTTTTCCATGTTATGAAAAGAAGGAGCAGAACATTAATTTAACTTCTGCCTCAGGTCAGACAATGGAGACGATAAAAAACCCTACCTATCATCGATCAATTACCTCTCGTCTCTCTGCCATGAAACTGTTCATCATGATCACCAAAACTTGAATATTAGGATTAAAAAGTTCATTAAAATTGGTCAAATCTGAAAAAAAATTTTATAACTTTTTTGTTTTGAAAATTACTCTTTGCTCCTTGATTGATATGGTTCTTTTGGGGAGAGAAGAAGAAAAACGGTCGTTTAAGCTAATTAAAAATGAAAGAAGCAAAAAAATTTTTAATAGGAGTATAATATATTTCGTTATTGTGTACAGAATTTTGTACAAAAAATCAATACTACTACTATGGTAAAAGTTTGAGTTAAAAAAATAATTCTTCGTACAAATGCTTTAATATTTTTTTTTAGTGAAACGGAATTCATTATCAAAAGGTATGTACAAAGTTCAAAAAATGCTTTAATTTTATCAGTAAGCGTTGGCCCTGAAGGGGGTTAAAACTGTTTAAATACAAGATTTTGAATTTGAGTCCATATAAATAAAATATTTTAGGAGAGAAATGAGCCCGACAATGTGCTTGAATAGTTGAATTTGACTATCAATCAAATCTACTCTTCCTTAATATAAGAGTTAGTTGACTAATTTAGTAGATTAAAAAAAACTAGTTAAGTTGTTATTTATAATAAATAGGTATTGTCTTTCCTAAAATATCTTTACTAATCAAATGTATTGGTTAGAACTACTATTATTACAATGACTATCTTGAAAAAAATAGATAAATATGAGAGACAAAATAGATTGGGGTCTTACATTTAGGATCAAAATAAAAATCAAACAAACTCTTATATTGAGAATCGGATTAGTATAAAAAAATGCTTTCATTTTCATTTTCAAATTTTATTTCTATCTTTTCTTCCTATGCAGTATACGAACTGTTTAGTGGAAAAGCCATAGTCTAAAAAAAGCCTTATGATAGACATACCTCAATTCTGAGACTGGCTTAGGCCGTCAAACTTAAAATAGTAACTAGGTAAAGTTTGAAAATTTAACCAATAAGATGTTGATAGATAGAGTAAATGGTCTTATTCTCGTAAAAAAAAAAAACAAATTCAAATTATTAGAAGTATGCTTATTAGGAGGATTTTAATTTTAGCACTTTTAGCTTGACAAAAATTAGTTTTAAGTCTAAAGTGATTTGAGAATACTTTAAGATATACAAAGAGAAAAAAAAGTTTGGAAATTTAAAACTAGCTCCGGATGCACTTAAAAAACAAAGTACATCCAATTGTCTCAACATTAAAATATTTTAAAAAAAAAAAAACTGATGAGCTTGCCCATCAATTATTAACCATCCGAACCCCAACTTTCTCATTAAAAAAAGAAATCTCTACTCCAACGTACAGTAACAGACCAAGAACATTCATTTATGACCCGGTAATCACAGTGTAAGGAACCAATGAATGTATCTGTCAAGTAATTTATCAAATCCCAACATCCTTAAATTAATTTATTTACCTCAGACGATAACAAACCTTACCTATGGAAGATCACTTACCTTTCTTCTCCCTTCCATGTCATACTGTAACTATATAGAAAAAGAAAAATCAAAATTAAAGAACTTAGAACTATATACCGTCCTGCTTCATCTTCCACTTTTATCTTTCCCCTTCAGCTAGGATCCTAAACCCTCTTTTGTCCACATTTACAGGCTTCAACCTCGATTGCATGCAAACTCACACGTGTGCTCTTCACCTTATAGGTGTCTAAAACTTCCTTTTAATTCACATCATCATCGTCCCCACCTGATGATGATCATGTTCTCTGCAAAAACATTTCTCTGTCTCTTTCTGAAACAACACTCGTCAAGCTGCATGACCCTCTAAGCCCCAAATGTCCTCCATGCATTAAAACCAGACCTCATGATCTTCCACCTTCCCCTCACTCACACCATTACAACCCAGGTTGTTCTCTATAAATACCCACTTCATCTCCTCTCCATTTCAGGAAACATCGTTCGGTTTTGTGATCAATCATGGGTTGCTTCAAAGCCAGGCTTCCTGTTCTCTTGCTTCTGGGTTCTGTTTTCCTGGCGGTGGCCTCCGTTGGCCTTGCCCACTGGGAAGATGATGAGAACTCGGAATACCGAGTTTGTGTGAGAAACTGTGTCGTTCAGAGTGATCCTTCCGTGTATGCCCAGTGCCCTGCTCACTGCAGGTCGAAGAAGGACCGGCATGAGGAGAAGGAAGAAGCAGCTGAACGGGACCCACGTCTTCCTGACCCTCGCCGTCCATGGCGGCCGGGACAGACCGAAGAAGGAGAGGGGGAGGAGACGGAGGAGGAGAAACCTCAGCGGCAAAGAGAGAGGGAACAACAACAACAACGTCCACACCGACAACCTCGTCCAGGAAGAAGGCCACAAGAAGAAGAACAAGAACAAGAAGAAGGTCGACACCGGCAACCTCGTCCAGGGAGGAGGCCACAAGAAGAAGAAAAAGAAGGACAAGAAGAAAGTCCACAACGACAATCTCGTCCCGGAAGGAGGCCACAAGAAGGAGGACAAGGGGAGAAACAGAAACAGCAACAAGAAAACCCGTATCACGTGCCCTCTGATAGGTTCCAAACCCGATTCGAGAACGAAAATGGTCGGATCCGGGTCCTCCAAAAGTTCGATCACGTGTCCCCACACCTTCGGATGCTCCGATACTACCGAATCGTCGAATACAGAGCCAGACCGGGAACCCTCATTGTGCCCCACCACTCCGATGCCGAGTACCTCGTCATCAACACCAGAGGTACATAAAGCTCTCATCTTGGTTTTATTATTATGAGTATTATACACACGCATATATATATATTGGATGCTAACCAAACATAAACATGATTGATTGCAGGAAGGGCCATAGTTACTCTTGTTCTTCCAAATTACAAGGAGTCTTTCAACCTAGAGCAATTTGATGTTTTGAGGGTTCCCGCAGGGGCCATATGTTACACTATTAACCGTGCCAGTGGTCAAGATCTTGAGCTCATCAAACTCGCTTTACCCGTTAACATTCCTGGTCAAATTGAGGTTTATAATTCTCTCCTTAACTTACAATTTCATATTAATCCTCAGTAATCTCCAAAAAAGAAAAAGATTCTCATTAATTGTTTTGTCCGGCCCTGACCTTGTGTGTAGAACTTCTACCCCTCTGGCAATCAAATTCCCAATTCTTACCTCAAAGCCTTCAACAGGAAGACTCTCCAGGCCGCCTTCAACGTAAGCATCATCTATATTGTTGTTTATGAGTTTCTCATTGTATTCTGATTTATTAACGTCGTATTGTTGATATGAAATAGGCCTCGTACGAGGAGATTGAGCAGGCATTTTGGGGAACAGAGCAGCAGCAACAACAAGGACAACAGGGTTCAGAAGAAGGAGTGATAGTGAAATTGCCGAGGGAACAATTGAGATCACTGATCAGCCGTGCCCAATCAAGGCAAAGAAGGGAAGAGAAGAGTTCACCATTAGGTCCTTTCAACTTGAAAAACATTCAGCCTCGCTACTCCAACAACCATGGCACCTTACGTGAGGCTCACCCTCAACGCTTCGAAGCTCTTCAAGACCTTGGCATCGGTGTCTCCCACCTAAGACTCAACGAGGTATAGACACATACATATAACTCAACCAATTGAGAACAACATATATAAGGTTTCATGAATTTTGGTAATGATGATGAGTTGTTTTGTTGATTCTTGTTGGGCAGGGATCAATGTTTCTGCCTCACTACAACACAAGAGCGATAATACTGGCCTTCGTTGCTGAGGGACAAGGAGACACTGAAATGGCGTGCCCACATTTAGCGAATCCCGAGGCACAGGAGGGAGATTGTGGATGCAGAGCGATTCGACAGCAGAGGCAGCGGGAAGGAGAAGGAGAAGGACAAGAGCATAGAGAAGGACAATTTAAGAGGTTAGCAGCAAGACTATCGAAGGGTGATTTTTTCATAGTTCCGGCAGGTCATCCTGTAGCTGTCAGAGCCTCAAGGAACAGCAACTTGGAGGTCGTCGAGTTCGTACTTAATGCCCCCTACAACTTCAGGAGCTTCCTCGCAGGTAACATATATATATATATATATATTTATAGACACACATACATAAGCTCTTAATTACCGTGACGTAAGAGTTAATATATGGTTGATATGTATGTGGATGAAGGCAAGAGTCAGAATGTGCTGAATGAGTTGGACAGAGAGGTGAAGGAAGCGGCGTTTGAAGGGTCCGGCGAACAAGTGGAGAGGCTGTTGAATCGACAGAGAGAGTCGTTCTTCGTGGATCGTGAGAGCAACCAAGTGGGGGAGGCAGGTCGCCCAGCCAAACTGGTAAGGTTGCTTGGTCTTCAATCTTGACGGCTTTCATGTGAGTGAGTGAGAAGTGAAGTTGGCCTATGTAATAAATAATGAATAAATAAAAACATCATCAAGTCCTGTATGTTTGCCTATTAAGGCACATAAGGACTTATCCCATATGAGGAACGAGTACTACGTATGTATCAATATCTGCAATATTATGAATAAATGAGGCGGTGGATTTTTTCTTCAACTACCTCCTCCTTTGTCTCCATTGATGGCTTCTATTTTTTTTAAATATGTTCAAAGTAACTCACGGGTTAACTTCAAATACCAAACCGATAAGCTATTGATTAAAATGATAAGTAGTCTCACATCAATAAACAATAAAGAAGAGAACAAAAATTGGAATTCCGAAAAACACACATATTGGGAGGATGTTGGGAGGATTTTAATGTTAACGCTCCCGTCTAACAAACATTATTTTTAGACACAAAATAATTTGAGAATACTTTATTAAAAAAAAACTCCTAAGGACCAAACAATAATAAGTAGAGAGAAGTACTAGCAATCTGTGCGTATATTCTATCTTTTATTTGTGACTTCATATGCAACTTAATGATTATAAGAGACAAGGGACCCCAGTAATACCAGAAACCTCTATGAGGATACTCTGACCATTTAAGGTGAAACAAAAAAAAAAAGGACAATTTATTGATAACGCCACAAAACTTTGTCAAAATATAGTGTCGAAGTTAAATTAAATAAAGATAAGTGAGAATTAGAATTATCCCATATACCATATTCGGTTTTAATTATAAGATCTTGTTTGTAGACTACAAATAAGATTTTATAATTAAAACTGGAGGTAGTACTATATAATAAGGCGTTGAAACCATGAATAATGTGGAAATTAAACAGGAGTACCTAGCAATAGTTTACAGCATAGTAGAAGGTAAAAGCTCTAATTACAAACAAAAGCCTCGTAATTAGTCTTTACGAAGATTAGAAGACAACGAAACCTACTTTTGAGGACTCGTACATGACCATGTCCGTTTACGATGGTTTTAATTAGACCTCACGAGGATAACGCTTCTGTGTTTCTGGTCATCTTATCTCTCTTTCACTTGTTAAATTAAAAAAAAAAAAAAACTCGAATAATTCAGACGGGGTCCTGATTCAGATTGCAGTATTCGATTCTATGCTCAATCAACATATTATATACTCTTCCGTCTTTAATAGAAGATATTTTAACTAATTTAGTTAGATTAAGAAAGTTAGATGAGTTAGTTAATAATAAGAAATATAACATGTCTTTCATAAAATCTATAATCATCTTCCTTAATATCCTCTCTCCCTCTTCTACTTGATTATGGTTGAGGGAGTATTTATAGAGGTAATTTAGGAAAAACTGATAAATATGAGAAATAGGTCTTATATTTAACACTAAAATCAACTTAACAATTAGATCCTATATTAAGAACATGAGGGGTATTATTTGTATTTTACATAAGACAATAATATTGGCCTCGCCATGAGCCCATAGATATGTCTGTGTGTGTATTGATTCTTAATCAAAAAGGGTCAAATGTCTTCATCGTTGTTGATACTGAGTCCTAGGAACTTGCAAATTAGAGTACATATACGACACACACAATACGTATACTTCATTCGCCACGCTTATATACATGTTGCCGTGCTGAGTGAGAATATATCAGCTATCAGATTAGATTTGTATTATACTACTATATATTAAGACAACAAATATATAATCAAGAAAGAAACAACTAGTAGTGGCCAGCCAGGTTCGCAAACCCAAAGGCAGTATTGGAGGGTGTGAATGGGCAGTTAGCACAGTGATATGTGTGTGTGTGTGTATAGATGTTCGTACTTAGTAAATTATGAAGTTGTCAGAAATGGCCGTGAAAAATGAAGTTGTACCTTTGTTATTTGTCCTATATTTATTGTGGTCCAAAATAACCTCATTCAATGCAATCACGCTTGATTTTGCATTAAATTTGATTGGAACGTTTAAAACGGGCGTGGTTTTGAACATAGTTGTGAGCTAACCAAAGAGAATAATATTTTCATAGAAACCAACTCAAAATCAAACATGCTATATAAAAGACTCCAAACTGCTAATTATCAGTAAATTCGATTGGTGAATTCATATTTGTTTGATGGAAGCCCAGAAACCATCAGTATGTATGCAAAATAAACTTAAACTGTCAAAAAATATATAAGAATAGCGAGAAAAACCAAAAGCGTATGGAATGACCGGAGCAATAAATAGATATCAATGCGAAATCGAAAGATATATGTATTGAAATCAACTTAATATATCAGTCGAATACAGCCAAAGCAAATACAATGCAACAGAAAATTCAGCAATGCAGGGAAATAGCGGAAGATCCATCTAGAGAGAGAGAAGATTCTTCAACCATGCACCCCCTTCTCTAACGTCCTGACACTGCTTTTATGCTGATGTGCCATCCTCCGGCTCACAATTTCCATGTGCTCTTTCTCACCCGCGTGTTACGCCTTAGTTGGACTTGGGATGAGTCCCCAGTACTTGATCTTGCATTTGTTGGCCCATCCGAGGTTGGGCTACAGTTGCTTATTACATTACCTCCCTCTTTAAAACGAACCTTGTCGGCAAGGTTCAAATCAAGATACCTCTGTTGTAGATTATAACCCCATTCCAAGAAGGTGATGTAGAACCATCCCATTGGACCAAGTATTATGGTGTCCACTGACCGTGATTCTTAACTAATCGTGATTGTAGGACCTCCAGTGGTTGACTAATAGGCCATTCAGTCACCGATGTTAACGGGAGAGGCAGATAAGAACCTTGATCAACAGCACCTTTGAACTTTTTGAGGAGGGAAACGTGAAACATAGGATGGATTCGTGAATGAGGTGGCCAATGTAAATGATAAGCAACTTTGCCGATACGTTCCGCTACTTCAAAGGGTCTGAAAAATTGCAAGGCTAGCCTTTGAATTTTTCTCAATTGAACAGACTATTGATGATATGGCTGGAGTTTGACCAAGACCTAGTCGCCAACAGAAAATTCTACCTCCCGTCTTTTTTTATGGGTGAAACGCTTCATACGAGCCTATGCCTTCTTATAAATTCACCTTGAGAACCCGTAACAGTTTATCACGCTATTCTAGTTGATGATGGACATCATACGGTGTATCATCTGCTGACGAATGGCATAGTAATGGAGGAGGATCCCGACCATAAAGCACTTTAAAGGATACCATTCCAATTGTAGTAGGGAAGGACATGTTGTACCAGAATTCAGCCCAAGGCAGATAAGCCAACCAGCTCCGTGGGTAGTCAAACACAAAGCACCGTATGTACATCTCTAAACACTTGTTTAGAACCTCTAATTGACCATCAGTTTGTGGGTAATATGCCGAGCTCATGTTCAAATGTATTCCTTGTAATTTCATTAAGTGCCTCCAGAAAGCTGCCGTAAAAGAATGATCACGATCTAAAACAATGGTACACGGGATGCTGTGAAGTTTCGTAACATTAACAAGAAAACTCTCCACAATATTTTGACTAGAATAATTAGCCGTCAATGGCATGAACATGAAATGGGAATATTTTGAGAGGCGATCGATAACCACAAAAATTATAGAGTACCCACGTACCACTGGTAAACCAGTCACAAAATCTATAGCGATGTCTTCCCATATATTGTTCAGAATCGGTAGTAGATAAACTCGACTGGGTGTAAGTGGGAGGCCTTAGCTTGTTGACACACACAGCACTGCTTAATATCTTTTCACATTTGAGGCCAGAAAAATAGAGAAGCAATGCGATGGAAAGTGCGCAGGAACCCTGCACGTCATCCCACTTTGGAAGAATAAAATTCTTGTAAGATCTGGGTGATAATATTAGGCACGTCAAGTGGAATCACAAGATGATCCTTCCAATACAACTCTTGATGTTTTAGATTATAGTAGGGTAATGCATCAGATTGTTGTGAAATTCGCGCCTTCATATTTGCCAACCATGCAGAATTAGGCAACTGGCTATAGATTGAATACGGAAAGGTGTGTTCCAATTGTGAGATAGCGAAGCAAGTATGACGGGATAAAGCATCTACGTAAAGCTTGATTTGGGTACCCAGGTTTGTATTCTATGCTAAACTGATAGCCTAATAACTTTGGTAGACTGAGTTCCTGTTCTGGGGTCTAAATTGTTTGCTTGCAAAGATGTTTCAAGCTCACATGGTCTGTGCGAATGATGAAGTGTCAACCAAAAAAATAATGACGAAATTCGACAACTACCTTTGTAATTGCATATAATTCTCAGACATAAGCCAATTGCTTTTGCATTCAAGGTGACAATTTCTTAGAAAAGAAAGCCATAGAATGATCATCCTGACTCAAAACTACCCCAATCGCAGCACCAAATGCATCAGTCTCTAGCACAAAAGTCTTAACGAAATTCAGCAGTGCAAGGACATGAGACGAAGTAAGGGCACGCTTTAGGTTATCAAATGCACTTTGGGTCTCATTGGACCAGTTAAATGCATCAGTCTTCAACAAATCAGTTAATGGGCTAGCAATCTTAGCATAATGTTGGACAAACTTGCAGTAATTAATACCCACTGAGCCCCAAGAACCCTCTCAATTGCCGTATGTTTGTTGGAGGGGGCTAGTTCTGTACAGGTTTGATCTTTGACCCATCCATCTCAACCCCAGCCTGAGAAATAATATGTCCTAAATATTCTATCCGCCAACGACTGAAGGAACACTTGCTCAACTTAGCAAATAACTGATTTTGAGCCAAAGATTGCAAGACTAACTCCACATATTATAAATGTGATTCCCATGAATCACCATAAATGAGTATATTATCAAAGAATATCAGAAAAAATTGACGGAGGGATGGTCAAAATATGGTGTTCATTAATGCCTGAAAGGTGCCCAGCGCATTAGTTAAATCAAAGGGCATGATTAGCCGTTCTTAGTAACCGAGGTGGGTTTTAAACGCCGTTTTCTCCCTGTTTGTTGCTTTCATCAAAATTTAGTGATACC